ACCTCTTAGGCTGGAGAATGATTTTGCAGCAAACCAAGGAGTGGTCTGTATCACAGTCTGTGCTGTGGTAAGAACGTGTGTGAGGGACATTCTTAATGGAAGCTCGTCTGATCAGTATGAGATCCAGCTGGAGCCAGTGCTTTGAGCGTGGACGTGTCCAGGAGACCTTGTACTGGGGCTTGGTCCTGAAGGAGTTGGCTATGCACAAGTTGTGGTTAAGAGCATAGCTCAAGCAGTCTCTGGCCATTGGCGTTCATCTTGCCGACACCAAAGTGCCCAAGGCATGAAGGCAAAGAGTCATGATCAGCACCCACTCTGGCATTGAAGTTGCTCAGGAGAACAAGTTGTTCCTTTCTGGGGATACTGCTGATGATAGTTGTAACTCGTCCTTGGTGTCCAATGTGGCAGAGAGTGTTGGGGTATACATGCTGATGAGGGTGACAGGGCCTGCGGTGGTGTTGAGGTGGAGAGTAAGCAGTCTCTCAGAACCATTGCTGCCTGGTTCTATCGTATTCAGCAGGCTGTTTCTCACTGCGAAGCCCACTCTGTGTTGGCATGGTTCATCAGTGCTCTTCCCCTGCAATTCAGCAATCCAGAGTCAGCCAGACATGTTTCCTGTAGAGTGGCGATGGTACAGTATGGTGTGGTCAGATGCAAGCCTGAGCGATGTGATATGGAGGACAGGCTATTGCCCATATAACATGTCACTGATGAGGCCAAAGGAACGACAAGGTTGCTACATTTTGGGACTGGTGCCCTTGCAGGAGCTGTCAGAATGGGTTGGGTACAATAGCGAACTGCCTTAGGGACTGTCTCCAGATTTTTCTGATGTTTACTCCTGAAGCCTTTTCTATGGCTGCAAGGCAGCAAAAGTTTGAAATAAGGGTTTGTCCTTCCTTTAAGTGAACTGCCAGCCCAGGCTGTCAAGCTCCACCTACCTGATGCCATTTATCATCTTACCCAGGACAAGTATTCCATTGCTAAGAATATTGTACATGCAGTTGATTCCAGTGATATGTTTTATTCGATATTGCATTGTGCATCAGCTATATGAGGCTTTTATCCACACAAGGTCTAACAAATTGTGAGGGGGAGCATTGCGCCAATGTCGCCATTATTTAACACTACTTTTTGGTAGCAATTTGCTTGATGATCCATTGATACCTTTCTACTATACTATCCCACTGCCCTGGGAGGTATATGAGGAGTGAAACATTATGTGGGTCCCCAAAAAGTTTAATGCAGAATGCAATGTGAGAAGTTCAGCTGGGGGACTGTTCAAAGAGTACACCCATCAAATGGTTAATTATGATGGTTGAATCCTGCCAATACAACTATTGCTAAATAGTAAATCACATTGTGACAAGTAATATCCATCCCTACTAAACTCCATTACATCCAATTCTCCTTTCTTCCAGTGTGCTAGAGATGACTCAAACTGGCTCTCCTGGTATTCTCTCGCCACTGCCTTCATGCCGTACAGGATCAATGTTGTGAAGTACAGGGGAATGTTTGATGTCAGAATGTCCATTTTGGCAACAAACTATTTAATCTGTACCACATTTGTTAATGTTACAAAGACATACTGCACAGGTTTAAACACTTTTATCATGTCAAGTCATCTCTGTGGCACCCTCACCAGTTTATCTGCTTGGTTCCAATTTAATTTCACCAGCATTACATCCACCGATAATTCATACACAGCTACTAGCTTTTCTAGGGTGTTGAACCATCTTCAAATGAGCATTTCGCATGCAGATTTTTTATCTATCCAGGCCTTCCCAGTGAGAAGTTCTGAGATCCATCTATGAATACACACATAATCCATAAACAGGTGCAGTACCACTGCTTCCCACTGAATGCCATATTGACACCTTTCAGGATAACATCCAATTTTACAATGTTTGGATATGTGTTTACATGTTATGTTACTATGGTAACAGAAATCTATTTTTTTTTTTTTTTCATCTGAGATATAAAAGACAAAGGGGCAAGATGTAAGAATAAGATTGTTGTTCAAACAAAAATTAATTATAAGATTTAACATACTTTGAAATGGAAATGTCAAGAACAAATAATATTTTAGGATTTCTAAATAACACCGTTAAGATAGGTACCTCCACCTAAATCGCTAAAAAAAAGAGCATAGCTGGATGAAAAAAAGACGCCAACCTTGCCGAAAACAAAATTTTATTGTCTAAATGCTTATGTTATTATTAAGAGGAAAGACCAAAGTTTTTTTTTTAATTATTTTTAAAAATTTTCCTTCTTTTAGAACATTCTAAATTTTGATTAAAAAAACCTTGTTTCTATTTGTATCAAAGGAACTAGTAAATAACAGACAATTTTTAGCACGTTTTTTGGTATGACACACATTAATTTGAAAATCGTATAAAAATAGAAATAATTATCGGATGTTAATGAAACTTTCAGGAACTATTCACAGATGATCGAAATTATTATAAATATGTTTTTTTATGAAAGTCATGGTAGAAATATTTTTTTAAAATATTACCCCCCCCCACAAATTTTATGGAAACGCTAGAAATTCGATCGCATCGGTTTTAGTGATTACAATAATTAAAAAGCACAGGGCTTTGAGGAATGCAAATCATGTTTTTTTTTGTTTTTAATTGATACGCAGTACCTGAAAATCAGCTCTGAATTGTAACATACAAAACTCAATAAAACAAAGATATTATTTAATTTCAAATGCTTTTATTTGCTTTTAGGAATATGGACAATATTTTCTGAAAGCAAAAAAATTTTTTCGATGAAAAATGAATTTTTAATACAATTATTTGTTATCTCATTAATTATAATAGATTTTACATTTAAGTTGTTAAAATATTATAAAATTAGTTAAAAGCCACATCGGCTTTCATAAGTGTCCTTATGAGATAGATCTTATTTTAGTGCGTTGTAAATTGTATCATTTTGACTAATCAGAAGATCCCCAGTAATTAAGAAATGTAATTTTGTGCTTATAATCAAGCTGTAATTATAAAATACGGAAGACCAACCAGAATATAATTAAATTGCGTTATTTGATTTAAGCATTGTTCTCAGCTGTTAAGGCCTTTACTTTTGCGAAACACGTGTGGAGAAGTTAATTTGATTTTTCATTTTCAACTGAGAAGGGTACCTACAAGTATCAGTATCATCTTATGAAATTTATATGATCTTATTTTTATATTAATCTCAGTTACGACATTTTTCCATAAATGAAATATCAAAATTAATAATAAAATGAATGCAAATAACAGTAGAATGTAGTAAATGTACATAAAATTATAGTATTTTATGTACAATTCTGATAAAATTTCATAAGAAAGGTACCTATAAATTAATTAGATACCTTTCTTAAGAAATATGAAATTTAATGTCACTCTTAACAGTTTTATTTTAATTTCTTTAGAATATATTTCCCATAAAGCATCATAAACGTAAAGGTGAAAGCTAAGTACAAAAAAAAAAAAAAAAAAAAAAATTAGACCGCTGAAAGTTTTCATTAAAAATAACGGGGTAAATAATTTGTTCACGTAAATGTAAATTATTTCACTTTTCTCCTTCCGTAGAACAAATTAGCTTCATGGAATTCGTAAATATATCATTCATCACATGTCAAGAGACGCGAAAGTTTATGACCTGCTTTGTTTTTATTTTCAAATTACATCTTTTTTGGCACAAAAGCTAAGTTAAGTTTGGTTCAAAATATTTCAAATAAACATTATAATTTCTGATTTTCTTAAAATAAGTTTTGAAAAAATGATAATTGATATTTAAAAAATTTCAAAGTCAGATTTCCAGTTTTTTTTAAATGGAAAAAATGGTCAATTTTGCTGACTCAAAAAAAAATAGATTTTTAACGAAAATTTCGGACGTGCTAGGAACGATTAAAAAATGGAAAAAAATACCCCAAAAATACTTTGACCTTTCCTCTTAATAATAACAAACATTTAGAAGATAAAATTTTGTTTTCGTCAAGTTTGGCGTCTTTTTCATCATGCTATGCTCTTTTTTTTAGCGATCTCGTGGAGGTACCTACGTTAAGAGAAAAAAAATATTTCAAGCAACAGGTTATTTTCAAAGATTGGATCTTTTAAAGGTAATAGTAAAAAAAAAAAAAAAACAAACCCTAAATCAAATTTCCCAGAAACTAATGCACATGCGTACTTCGCATCAAGTCCGGTAATAATAGCTTTTTCTTACATATGTACCTTTTTCTTTTCTATTTTTCCCCCTTTTTACTACGTTAAATTCGATTACTTTTTTTTTTAAACAGATAACAAAAACGGGTAAACTTATTTTGGTTAGAATGTCATATGACTAAAATGTTTATGTAATAATGTTCGATTCGATAACAAGTTTTAGAAAATATATTGTTTCTATAACACCGTACTAGGCACCATCTTTCATTAATCTTTCGTTTTACATCCAATTACAATACAACGCCGTAACTAACTAAAATTATCCGTAAATAGGTAATATTTACGGATAATTTTAGTTAGTTGGTTCGTTTACCACCATATTCGATCGATATAATAATTAAGAATAAAATTCAAAAGTAATTTTAAATTTCATTTTAGAGATTAACAAATTACTTTTGTAACTTAATTTCTTATCCACATGCGGGGAGTAAAATAATCAGGTATGATTCACTAGTTAGTTGAAATTTTAAAGACTAAATTCCTTAAAAAAAAAAAAAAAAAAAAAAAACATGATCATTCATCATTCACACACAAAAATACTATCCAACGTCACCATACCAAGTTATTTTTTTTTTTCATTTTTAGTAATAAAAGTTATGTTATTTCATAACTTGATAGTGTGACAGAAAATAAGAAAAGACGAAATATAAGACATATAAAAAAAAAATAAAGATTCGGTAAAAAATAAAATCGGAAGTTAGTACCATGTGGTGGATCAATAAGTTCTCATAAAACAGGATTGTTTCACATACACACTAAATGATTTTTAAAATAAAATGTATTTCATACCACTTGACAGGTTTTTTGGAATATCTTTGCAGCTTCCGCACTTTTTTCTTTGATGAAATAATATACAAGATGCGCGAGATCGGAATTTGACTTGGCCATCTTTTAAGATAGTGAAGGGGGGAAAAAAAAACACGTGCTACAAAATATGGAAAAAAAAAAATAATTTTAGAACTAAAGAACCGGATGTGACCGCCTTAATTTTCCTCCAGAACGAGGCTTATAGGAACCGGAAATTTCTTTTTTTTTTCTTTTAATGTTTAAAAACGAAATTAAAAAGAAAAGAAAGGAGGAACTGAGTAAAAAGTTTAATTACGATTGGTTCATGCTATTCCAGTGTGATCTTAGTTTCATTTTTTTTTTTTTTTTTTAGGGGGGGTCTCATTTATTTAACTTTCGTTTCTGCGACACGTCATTTTCTTTTCTCCACTGATCGATCATTTATACAACTGGACATCGTAGGCATGGATGGAAAGTACTTTATATACCCACTCATAGGTGAAAAACAGGTTACATGATTAAAAAAGTTATAGTACCCAAAACATCTATTTTTACGGAAGCATGTGATTTGTTTTTATTATCGTTTTTTAGTTTTTTTTTTTACTATGTTTAAAAATATATCGGACAAAGCATTTCTTCATTTTCAATGTTTTATATTAGACTATGATGGCTTTTGTTGACAATTTTAGAGTCTAAAATTTAGACATGAGGTGTATATTTTCTAGGATGTGTTCTTAAAACACTCAATGTCTTTTAGACTTTACCAGACGAGCTGTGATAATTTCCTCTTGTCAGCCGATTGTGTATTTTAAAAGTACAAGACTGACCGGTTTCAGCTCGGGCTGCATTGTCGATACGAGTATTTAAGCACTCTTTAGAGATTCATTTATTTTAAAGTTAATTGATTTGAGGATTTTTTTTAATAGAGATTAACTAAAGAAAACCCAGTAAACTAAAAACAAAATGCAATAAAATAGAAAAATCTTTTAGATAGAACGAACAGTTATTGAATTATCTCCCTTAGATTTCTTTACCTAGCCTAATATTCTGATTACATTATTATTTTAAGCGTCCAGTCTAAAAAGTCTTGCTTTAGTTTCTGTATTGTTTTGTTCAAAATCTGGCCATGCCTCGTCCAAGAAACAGAACTTTTTTAGTGAACCCTCTAGAAATTTTGTTGTTTCCTCAAATTAGAGATGAAAAATGGACTTTATTGACTATTATGCCTGAAATAGCTACACCTGAACATGCAATTAAATGGCTTGCTAAAAGACGGCTTTTACGCAACACAGCATTATGTGATATTTGCAAAAATCCAGCATCATTTACTCATTATGCTAACGGAATAGATAAATTCAGATGGCAGTGTAGGGGTTGTACGTGGACAAAAAGTGTAAGACACAATTCATTTTTTGCTATGTCACACGTAAGTCTACAAAAACTAATACAGCTGACATATTTCTGGGCTCTGGATATGCCACTGCAGGAATTACAGTTAACAAGAAGTACTATTATAAATTGGTGTAATTTCAGTCGTGATCTTTGCTGTGAATGGGTGAATAATAACTTTCAACAGATCGGTGGCCCTGATGGCGCAGTTGAAATAGATGAAAGCAATTTTTTCCGTAGGAAAACTCCTGAACATTCTGGTCAGCAACAGTGGGTATTTGGTGGCGTGGAGAGAGGTACCAGGAAGTGTTTTTTGGTCCCAGTTTCAGATGTATCTGCTGATACATTGGAACCAATTATTCAGAAATACATTGCTCCGGGAACGACAATTCTAACACATGATCATGCTGCATATCGAAACCTAACCGACTTAGGTGGTGGTATTTATAAACATCAGGTTATTAATTCACATGATGATGGAAATAACCAAACTTACCAAAGTTTTGAAAGTATAGAATCTCTGTGGGAACTCTGCAAAAAAAAGCTACGAAACCAAAGTGGTACTAACCAAGAATCGTTCCCATCTTATATGAAGGAAATCATGTGGAAAGAAAATGTTCCCAGAAGTCAAAACAAGGACACTTTTTCCTGCTTCTGTGAGCTTATTGGTCACACATATCATGTCATAGAACTTCAACAAATATATCCGTAATTATGTTTATTTTTAACGGGTATTTAACCAGTTGTTATATTTATTTATAGCTTAAATAAATTATTTAATTTTGGACGCTATTTTTCGTCTTATTTCTGATGCAAGACTTTTCAAATATCAATCAGGTAAGTCCATTTTTACTTTTAATTATTTGTCTTATTGTTTACAAATGTTGGTTAAATTTTTCAATTATTGTCTGTTTCTGAGATGAAGTAATGAATGTAACTACACTACATTGTTCAGACTTTTTCCGCCTCTTTATAGGGCATGTCTCACTTTTTCTGCGACCATTCATTGTGAATGTGACAATAAAAGATGCCGACAACAGTGCGAACTGTAAACTATATATTTTAATACTGTTCTATGAAAATAATGTTTTTCTCTTTGGAACCTATACACTTTCGAAAAAAAAAAAAAATTTTTCAAGTGGAGATGGGGATTCGACTTGCAATGTGGCTAAACCGGAATTGATCCTGACTGTCCGGTTTGTTGATTAGTACTTGTATTTTTTTTCAAGAATTTCTTAACACAGATTCTGTAGGAAGTAAAAGTAATATTATCAAATTTAATTTTTATATAGCAAATTGTTTGTTATTTAAAATTTTGGTTCATTTAGAGATCCTATTTCTGCAACTTCGTAAAACTACTGAAAACTTTCCTTGCGTTTTTAAGTGAACAGTTAACTTTAATGACTTTTTACTTTTTAGTGATCACAGAGGATCGACTTTGGCATTACGTGTACTGTACATTGTAAGAAATCGATCCCCTGCATTAGCAGTTTTTTCGAAAATGAACAGGACTTCTCATATAAATATCAATGGTAATTTTTACAAGAATTGTAAATGATTGTAAAAATGTAGCACTTTTTTTTAATTATTAAAAAATGCTGCATTTATTTTAATTTGACACAAAATCAGTTTTAACACTAAATTTTAGTATGTAACTAGGAGAGAACATGAATGATTTGCAAACATTTACGAATATTCCAAATTCAATGAAATAAAATATTGTTATACACAATTATTTCAGAAGTACGGTCAATAACTTTTGTTTTTCCGAATAAGGAAAAACTTTTTCCTTATTTGGAATAGAAAACTTTTTATCGAAACAATTTATTTTATAAAAAGGAAAAAATTCAGGCGTACATAGATTTCAAAGCTAAGTTAATACTTTTTTACTCTTGCTTGACAAACTCAACGAAATTTTCATTAAGCTGAAAATGTAAAAAAATCAAACATACACGACCCAATTGTTTTCTTTTTTTTTATAAAACTTTTACTTTTTTAGCATTGAGAGATCTCCAGATCATCAGACAATTAAATTTTTGCAATTTTTAGATGTGATAAAAAAGAGGCACGAAAAAAGAAAAAGTTTGATTATCTAAGGCTAAGCTAAGCACAAAAATAAAAAAGTTTAAATTAAATTATATTGTAATATTAGGCTTTTTTTCTCTACATTTGACGTAATAGTTACTTTTTAAATTTTTATTGACGATAATAAAGTTTATTCAATAAACAATATAAAATAAACGTCTAAAATCCCCCAATTTGGCTTAGTTTTTTCTTACACAGTAGTCAAATTTAGTTATTTTCACAAAAATTGGTATTATTAACGACCAATCAATCAATGAAAAACTTTCAGGGTACCAAATGAACTCATGTTTTTTAGAAATAATTTATTTGGTAGTGAGTTCTTCATTTGTAATTAGGTTTGTTAATTTAATTATATTGTAAATATTTAGTTAGTATTTTATTGATATTTTTAAGTTTCATTATAGAAAAATTACCATGGGTTGTAAGAAATAATCTCAAAAGAGAAACAAGTTATTGAGCGATGGAAAAACAACACTGGAAATTGCAAAAAAAAACAAAAACAAATGTACAAAATGTAAAGAAACAGTCACTTAGTTGGCTTGTGGATCCTCTGGAGTTGGCAAGCATGTCCATGGTTGGTACAATTTGAGTTCATTAGAGGTTTAATGACTATCTGTGTCTTGATGACCTTATAGTAATTCTTCATTTTAGACACAAGCTATTTATTCCTTCCAATAGCAGATAAATTTGATCTCAATCAGTCCATTGTCAACTGGATTGAAAAGGCAGTTGTTATGTCATCTGTGTAGGGTAAAAAAAGATACAATCATTTCCTGTGTTTCAGCAGCTGAGTGAAGAGAAAAAGAATGACTTCTCTAGCATAAAGGACATGGCTAGCATATTGTACACTGCACTCTAGAGAATCTGTAGACATTTACCTAGCAGAGATGCAAAAGATTTCTGTTCCATTTGGTGGCATGACTGAGCGAGGCCTCATATGCACCTTTGTGGCCAGGTTACCAGATTATGTTCAGAAACTTCTTTGAACTTCCACTTAGATGGATGACATGAGCATTAGCTAGACACTGGTCCAAGCTAAAGCAATATTAAAGGAGGATAGTAGTAGGGCTGACAGTAGTGGCTGTGTGACCAGTGCATGATGTGGATGGCCCGGAAGAAACCACTGAAATAAGGTACCATGCATGTAACCACCCACTTGGCAAAGTTCTGCTTCACTAAAGATCGAGAGAAATGGCCTCATAGAAATGTTGTGCTGTTTTCAGTGTCAGGAGCTGGGCCATTTGTTACGGGATTGCCTGGGGAAAAGGCTAATGGATAAGATTATAGTACCAGTCTCCTCCCTTGACAAGATGTGAATTCAATGTTATCCACAATTTGAAATAGTTCATTGCACTGTTGTCACTAGAAAGCTGTGCCAGATGTGGAAAAGGAAAAGTGTAGACATAGGATTTTGACTTAATGTTACAGTTCAGATAATGTAACCCATCATAAGAGCTGTGCTATTCCAAGAAGAGACAATTGAAAAAGCATCCCCAGTGTATATCAATGATATCTATGTCATTGGGGATGTAGTGCCAGTCTCACACATAGCAGAACATCTATCACACTTTGACAGGAAATGCTAGTGTGCTTGGATTGACAGTCTAGGGTGGAGAATGGCATCTTGCAGTGGAAATGGTAAAATGTACTCCCAGATGTCCATGAAGCAGTTATCAGAAGAAAGGTCTTGTGTGACATATTCCAGTAAGTAGATGGTTGCATTAGCAACCGGCATCATGAAGTGTGGTAACAAAAGGGCAGGATGACAAAACAGATGTTATTCCGCTCAGATTGTAGGCAGTGAAACAATGACCAGGAGTGAATTGTGCATAAATGTCAAGGAAAGAGTTTGGCATGTGAGTTGACACAAGCTCATTGACAGCTGGAGTATTATTTGAAATGACTCGCATATTTTAACTAGCAAGGCAAGGGTCAATACCAAGGCTACAAGTGAGATGTTGATAAGGAGAATGCTGGAGATTTTCTCAGATTTAGTGAAGGAATATGGTTTGGTGGTAGATGTTACATTGGTAAAATTGAACCAAAACAAAATGGACAGAATAACTAAAATTTATATATAAATATATATATATATATATATATATATATATATATATATATATATATACACACACAGACATATTGACTATTTCACTGTATCACAGCTCCTCAAATATTCCAAAAACGTTTGTAGTAATTCTCTTCTTTTTAATTAATAATATATATATATATATATATATATATATATATATATATAATGACAATTTGTAGAAACTTATGTTGATATCATAAAAGTTTTTCCAAACTGTAGTGATAGTAGTATATATGTATGTGGATATCCAAGTAGTAACTTTATTTCCTATAGGCATTTGAGAATAGAAATTGGGGAACATTTTTGAACTGAATAAATTAATAACTAAATAATTTGGATATTAGGAAGGTAGAAAATTTTATTATGCCTTTAAAATGAACTTTTTAAAAAGTATATATTCACTGACAATATATACAAAAATATTAAAACAGGAAGGAAGAAAAAGGAAAAAATTACTTTAAGTGGTAAATCAAAAATGATTAAAACAAATCATAAAAGAAGGTAACCTGTTATCATTACTTGGTCTTCACAATTCAAAATATAAATTAGTGGTATGAAAAAAAAATATCACCAGTGAATCAGCAGTATAAGTCATAAGCAAATAACATTAAAACTCTGCAACTATTCTTTCTGATTGCAGAGGGAAGGTTGGTTATATACATGGCTTGAGCACTTTCAAATGGTAATCTAAATGAGCTCTGCTTATGATTGAGAAAGTAAAATACAAGACACAAATCAGATTATTTATGAAATGTTCTGCAATTACTAGCCCAGATAGATCTTAGCTGGTATATGCTGATCAATTCTCACTTCCAAAATCTGATTAGTTCTAACTATGTATCAAACTGATATTTAAAATTATAAAACAAACTAACATGATGGGAGTGAAGTAGAACATCTTTATGAATATATTTCAACATAAGTTGGGAAGTGCAAACAAGCTGTGGATTGGCAGAAAAATAATAAAGCTGCACTCTTTGAGAGATTTGCTTGGCAAATATTGTGCTAGCCTCACCAATCCAAGGTAATTGCAAATAAATGAGACACTTATGAACCATTCAATTTGGGTTTGTTAAATTGTACAATTTTAGCACAAATGCTAGATTGTAGAGTATCTAGAGGGTATCAATTTTTAACTAAAAGTAAACCTTTGTAATAAATTCATTTTCAGAATTTAATTTGGTTTAGAATAAATAATCAGGGCATGATGATCCAAAGTTTTGATCAGATTTAATTTTAGTTTAAACCAAAAAGTCCAGATGAGTATTCAATCCAGTAAAAGTAGGTTTACTGTACACAGAATTCAAAATAGATTTTTGTACCCTCCACAAATCATTTTTATATGTACAGAATAAGTATGCTCAAGATTTAATTTGAAAATTAAATGTTCTTAGGGATGAGATTTGAACTGATTGCTCCAATAAATTATCCTTAAAACTTTGGAGAATTGAGTTTGTCTTATTATTATTAGTTTTTGGATCTCTAGGTCTAGGTCAAATTGTAGACACACAATTGAACATGCTTTTAATAGTGACAATATTCACAAATCTATCATTCTTACTAACAAGCTAAAGAATGAATTCCAGTTATTTTGGAGTTTTTTCTTTTTTTTATTTTAACAGTAATTTTGCAAGTTACCTTGCCATTGTTGATGGGAGTAGCTATGTTATTACGCATTAATGAACAAAAAGACTACAATGCTTACCATGTAAGAGATTTGGTGGGTTATCTAATACTTTTCATCTAAATATTGAATTATTCCTGTTTAAGCTTAAGTGGAAAAAAAAGAATGAATCACAATAAAACCTGATTTTAATGAAAAGACCTTTGAAATTTTAAAGCCTTAAAATAATTATTTTCTGCTTTCAATAGGGGAGAGTAACAAGGGAGGCAAATTTTGTTTTATATCTTCCCCTGATATGAGACTTGATATAGATTCTTTGATAAAGTATTTGAGCTTCGAGGAAAGATCAACCCTGCATATATATATATATATATATATATATATATATATATATACAAAATTTAGAAAGTAAAACTGGCCATGAAAAACTGCAGAACCATTACTGAAGGGAAAATATATAGTGGGGGAAAAGCTGTATTAATAGTAATACATTATCTCTATACTTTTTAAACCTTTCCCTTTACCTCTTTTGATAGGACATCTCTTCACCTATCAGTAAACCCATACCAAATTTTTGTGTAATGCCTTTTTAAATCTTTGTTCAAAAGCCATTAAAAAAATAACAAATAATGGTTCAGTGAATATTCTTAACAATCTAACATTTTCATTTCAAAGTTGCTACAGTTGAAATTATTTCTTTATACTCTTTTCTGCATAACGTTCTAATGTTTTGAAATGCTTGGACTAAAAAAAAAATGTAAAATAATATAATTCCACATGCAAAACATTAAGAATTCAATTAATTTCAAAATTTAATAATTCCATTATATCTTTTGCAGAAATACATCCAAATAAATATGTATATAGAAATATATTAAAAATATTCTGAAGATCACTAAAAGAAAATAAGTTGTAAAGATCTCCAGGATTTGGTCTTGGAGGATAATGAAGGGAAGTAAATTAAAATATATTTTATATCAATTGAGAGAAACAAGGGATGAGCTGTTTATCTTGCTCATCTTTACTTTTGTTAAAAACCAATTCTAATAACATGTTAGAATATTTTCATCTTGTCATTTTTAATAAAATTCACTGAATCTCTATATTTCAGTCATAGTTACTATGGTTGTTATGATAGGCTGAATGTAAATGTAATGAATTTAAATACAGGTTACCTCTGTACAAATATTGTAGTTTAAAAGTAAAACAATCCAGCTTATACACACAGTGTGGATATGGAAATGAACACTGCATGGTGATTGTCACCTTAAACAATGATGATTGTGCTGCATGGTGATTGTCACCTTAAGCAATGATGATTGTGTAAGGCATGAAACTAATATTCACCATGCAATGTTGATATTTATGACCTCACTCTGATACTGAACCCTCTCCTCTATAAATATAGCCAATTAAAATATATATAAGGTTTGATCAAAAAGTATCAGTACTGATGCTATTAAAAGAAAAATACAACACATATCAATTCAGAATTTAATCTCCTTCAAAGTAGTCCCGTTATGAAACCACACTTTTTATCTCTGGTTGTTTCCATTGATGGAAGCATTCCTAGAACTCCTATTTTTGGGATAGCAAACAGCTGCCTCTTTACATTCTCTTGGATTTCCTCAACATCTTGAAGTCTTGTTCCTTTAAAGTGAGATTTAATTTTTGGAAAGAAAAAAGTCACAATGGGCGAGATCTAGAGAATATGGTGATTGTAAAACCTAAGGAATGTTGTGCTTGGCCAAACACTGTTGTACTGAATGGCCAGGTCTATTGTCATGGTAGAATTTTGTCATTTTCTGATGAACAGCATCCTGCAATCATTGGTAGTCATGCAGTGAGAATGAACTG